ATATATCCTATGTAAACAAGTAATTGTTAACTATGATGTTACTTTATTACACTAACTTTGCATAGATGATAGCACAAAAGACCATTTCACAAAAATAAATATATAAGCAAACAAACAAATAAATAAATCTTATGAGTGAGCATTACCCAGGACTCTACGAAAACAGTTCACACTTCAACTCCCCCAATGTTCAAAGCAAAACTACGCCCTTGTTCGCATGTATGTTCAAGTGCCCTGCATAACTAAAGAAAGGCTTTACCACTTGTTTTTATGCGTTTACAAGCATTTCTCAATACTGACTACGTTTTTTTCAAAATTCTTCACGTTCCTCCAGCATGCACTTTCACTCAGCAGTTTATTTTATGTCAAAATGCATTAAAAACATCAGAACATTTCTCAAAATTAACCCATTCTACCATAGGGCAAACAGTCCCATGTGCAAAAAGGGGTTGTGCATTTTTACTAATGCAAAATATGTAAATGCAAAGGATGAATTTTGCCAAATGTTCGTTATAAATGCATTTTGTATCAAAAGAAAGATAAAATGATCCACAGTTTAGTCCCCAGACACTGCTATTGTGCTGTACAGTAGGTATTGAGAAATGAACATAAACCATTGTTTAGTGCTGTCAAACGATTAATCGCGATTAATCGCATTCGAAATAAAAGTTTTTGTTTACATAATATATGTATGTGTGCTGTGTATATTTATTATGTACATATAAATACACACACATGCATGTATATATTTCAGAAAGATATGTTATGTTTATATATTAAACATATTTATTTATAATATAAATTATATGAATATAAATATAGACATGTAAATACATGTAAATGTTTTCAAAATATATACTGTATGTGTGTGTGTTTATATATACATAATAAATATACACAGAACACACACATATATTATGCAAACAAAAACTTGTATTTTGGATGCGATTAATCACGATTAATCGTTTGACAGCACTACAATTGTTTAAAAAAAAACAGTATCCAAGATTTAAAGGGATAGTTCATTCAAAAATTCTGTCATTGTTAACTCACCACAACACAAGCTGTTCCAAACCTGTATGATTTTTTTTTTTCAGCTGTTGAACACAGAAGAAGATATTTTGTAGAATGTGGGTAACCAAACAGTTGACGGTAGCCATTGACTTCCATAGTATGATAAAAATACTATGGAGGTCAATGGCTACCGTCAGCTGCTTGGTTTCCAACATTCTTTAAAATATCTTCTTTTGTGTTTAACGCAAGAAAGAAATTCATACAAGGTTTGGAACAAGTCAATTATTACATAATTTTAACACAACAAATTAGCTGTAACTGTTAAACTAAAGAATAAATGGTTTGAATCATAATAATTTTTTACACTTTTTTTTTAATCAACTCAAATCATCTATCTGGCCAGATTGGACTCCTCCACAAGTCAAATTTGTGTTTGAAACCCCAATATTAATTTGTAACTAGACAGCAAAACAGTTTTCACCATATGAAAGAGCTCGACTTGAATCAAAAGAAAAGTGTGGGCATCAAAACATCCCTGATTGGCGATTTTCAATGGTCAGATCATTCACTGAACCCACTTCTGAATGTAATAAAAGAACAAATTGGATTTGATTTTACCCTGTGTACCCTGTGGTGTCCTATTGGTAAAAGCATTGATATTTATGAAGCTTTGAAGTAGGACAGAGAGATGTCAACTAATAGCAAATTAAAAGGGAAACACAACACGATGCAAATCATTAACAGGAAGATTCTTTTTAGTAAAAATAATGATTTTATGCCCAAAAAAGGGAAAAAATAAATTTATTGTTCAGCAATGGTTAGATATTTTTGGTGCATTGTGAGCGTGTTTGTGTGTCTACCACCGAAGACAACAATGTGCAAGTCTCTGAGAGCTCAATGCATTAGTGTGTGGATTTGACAAATACTGACAGTGTGTGTGCCAAATCATGGCCAAAATCGCAGTGTGAGCTGGGCGTAAGTTTATTTAGTAAATAACTGTGGCAACGTCTCCAAGATGCTTCAAGAGACCTACCTGCAAGTCTCCCTGAAAAACTATGCACAGATGTACCGAGGGCAAAAGCTGCTTTAAACACAAAGCATGCTCACACCAAATGTTGATTTAATTTAGTTAATAGAAGTTAATTGATACAGAAAATCTATTTATGACATTATTTTTGACAGCATCCTCATTTTACAGCATTTTTACACAAGTGCCTAAAACGTTTCTTTGCAGGTAGGTTTCTTGAAGCATCTTGGAGACGTTGCCACAGTTCTTCTGGATTTAGTCTGTCTCAGTTTGTTC